CCTGTGTCTGTCTGTCTGTCTGTCTGTCTTACCTGTCTGTCTGTCTTTCCTGTCTGTGTCTGTCTATCATCATAACTATCATCATAATTATTGTTAATGATTTAATATTACTGTTATCAGTAATGATTATCTTTATAGTTATTGTTATATTACAGTTATCATATTTATTGTTGATGACCGTCATATCATTATATTTATTGTTAATAATTATCATTAATGTTTTCATTCTTGTTAAAAACAGGTGTTAAAACGTATCTCTTCTTAATTAATTAAAATAACTGATCATAATATCCCTATTAATATTAAAGGCAACTTCTTATAATCCATTAAAATCCTGATGTATCAAATCAATCTAGTCTTGCTTTATTCCCACTGAATATCCCGTCTGGATTGCCTGTGAATGCTGCTTCATGTTGACTTTAGGTTGTTGTTTGGTTGTGCTCTTTCACTGGACCTCAATGATCCAGCGGCTCTGCTTTCTTATGCATATGCGTGAGTAAGTGATTGTGTGAGTGTGTTTATGGGAGTGTATATCTGTGTGTGTGTGTGTGCGCTTGAGTGAGTGTGTGTGTGTGTTTATGGGAGTGTATATCTGTGTATCTGTGTGTGTTTGTGCCTCCGAGCGGGGCGGTTCTGCAGCTTCCTGTGAGTCCAGTTCCTCCAGATCAAGACCCATAATGCACCACAGCTGTTGTGTGTGTGTGTCTCCACAGACATAGACGAGTGCACGTTTGCAGACATCTGCGTGAACGGCCGCTGCCGCAATATCCCGGGTCTGTTCCGGTGCCTGTGTGACCCCGGGTACGAGCTGGACCACAGCGGAGGAAACTGCACAGGTCTGGGGTCAGCTCACGCACCAGCAGTGCTGGGAACTAACTAGTTACATGTAACTAAATTACAAAATAAATGCTACTGTAATCAATTACAGTTACTGAGAATAAATGTTTAATTCAATTACAGTTACTGAGAATAAATGTTTAATTCAATTACAGTTACTTATGAAAATTTGTTAACAATTACAAAGGGAGATACATCTGAATTTTTTCCACACACACCCCCACATACAGATTTAGCTGACTTCTTTCATAAATTGCATTGACTGCTCTAAAATATAAGTCACCAGGATTTTAGGACACAGAATAGGACACATGATTATTCGATAACTGTTTTATTTCCTTTATTTTTTAAGATTAACTGTTTTAAGCATTGTTAGATGCCAGTGTTTTCTGTCATAGCTATACAAAGATTTGATTTCAAAATCAGTATCATAGTTACTAAACTATTTCTTGTTATGATCTTAAATCAGTATTTAACCTCAGAATGATCTCAAAGTAAGTCTGATTTTGTGGTGGCTGTGCTTTAAAATTAAATTATTTTAATCTTAATTCAAGTGATGAAGGATTCTCTGACAGTAATCAGTGTTGAGTTCTACTGTGAGATTAACCTGCCTACTTTACATGTTTAAAAATGATTAACAGTTGAAAACATTCTTTAGAAATTTAGAAAAGTAATCAAATGTAATCAGTCACTTTACTTTAATAAAGTAATTGAAATACTTACACTGCTTATTACATTTTAGATAGGGTAACTTGTAATCTGTAACCTATTACATTTCCAAAGTAACCTTCCCAGCACTGCACACCAGACACTGACACGTTTGACCTCTCCTCTGATCCCTCTGTTCTCTTTGCGTTCTGTGTCAGATGTGGACGAGTGCACCAGCCCCACCACCTGCATCAGCGGCCTGTGTGTGAACACGCCGGGCAGTCACATCTGCAGCTGTCCGCCGGACTTCGAGCTCAACCCCACCGGAGTCGGCTGCGTCGGTGAGATGCCTGAACCCAAGCAGATGCAGCCGCTGCTGCCTGCACCGCAGCACTCATGATGACTTCTGTCTGTCTGTCTTGCAGACACTCGCTCTGGAAACTGCTATCTGGAGGTGCGATATCGCGGCGATTTCTCCGACAGTCTGCACTGCTCGACCGAGATCGGAGTGGGAGTTTCCAAAGCGTCCTGCTGCTGCTCTCTGGGTCAGGCCTGGGGGTCACCCTGCGAGACCTGTCCGCCGCTCAACTCCAGTGAGACACGCGCGCGCGCGCACACACACACACAC